ACCTACAAAGAACTCAAACAAATTTACAAGAATAAAACAAACAACCCCATCAAAAAGTGGGTAAGGGATATGAACAGACACTTCTCAAAAGAAGACATTTATGCAGCCAACAGACACATGAAAAAATGCTCATCATCACTCGCCATCAGAGAAATGCAAATCAAAACCGCAATGAGATACCATCTCACACCAGTTAGAATGGTGATCATTAAAAAGTCAGGAAACAACAGGTGCTGGGGAGGATGTGGAGAAATAGGAACACTTTTACACTGTTGGTAGGACTGTAAACTAGTTCAACCATTGTGGAAAACGGTGTGGTGATTCCTCAAGGATCTAGAACTAGAAATATCATTTGAGCCAGCTATCCCATTACTGGGTATATACCCAAAGGATTATAAATCATGCTGCTATAAAGACACATGCACACTCATGTTTATTGTGGCATTATTCACAATAGCAAAGACTTGGAACCAACCCAAATGTCCATCAATGACAGACTGGATTAAGAAAATGTGGCACATATATACCATAGAATACTATGCAGTCATTAAAAAGGATGAGTTCATGTCCTTTGCAGGGACATGGATGCAGCTGGAAACCATCATTTTCAGCAAACTATCACAAGAACACAAAACCAAACACCGCATGTTCTCGCTTATAGGTGGGAATTGAACAATGAGAACACTTGGACACAGGAAGGGGAACATCACATATGCGGCCTATTGTGGGGTGGGGGGAGGGGGGAGGGATAGCATTAGGAGAGATACCTAATGTAAATGACGAGTTAATGGGTGCAGCATACCAATATGGCACATGTATACATATGTAAGAAACCTGCACGGTGTGCACATATACCCTAGAACTTAAAGTATAATAATAATAAAAATAGAAAATAGAAACAACGAAATAAATAAATAAATTCAAGACTCCAGTGTTTGAAAGATTCCATAAAAAGAATCTTCTATCAAGGCTTCAATACAACAAGGCAAAGCAAAATAAAACAACAAGCATAGAGGGTACAAGTTTACCTATGGAGAATGGGAAAGAAAATAAAACTGCATACTCAATCAGTACTTTTTAAACTAATAAATAGTATGTAAAATTCATTCTGATGATTTTCAAAATCATGATGAAATTGATTCATTTAAAGGAAAATATAAACTATCTAGACTTACTTAGTGGAAAGATATTGTTTTTTCACCTGCACACATGCCACTCTTAAAGGGTCCAGTGCCCTGTAGGAGCAGAGCTATAAATTGCAGGACCCTGTCCAGTTAATTCCCGCCAGGATGAACGCCTAACCTAATTTCTTCAGCTGGCATCTGAGAACGGAATCCCATCCTCCTCCCGCACTTCCTGTCCCCTTTAGTGCTTTACTATTATCATAGCCCTATCACCATCTAACACATCACCTGTTTTGTTATTTATGTTTTTTAATATTGTCTGCCTCCTCTCCCTTGCCCCACACAAGTAAATGTAAGCTCCATCTGGCAGGATATTTGTTTTATGGTACACTATCTACTCACAGACTCTAAACAGGAAATCTGGCACAAAGTTGGCACTAAATGCATATTTGTTGAATGAGTAAATAGATCAATTAATGAATGAATAAGGGACTGACCTGTGATCAATAGAGAATAAAGCTGATGATTTATACATGTGTTGATTTGGGTGTATGCAAACAAAGGGAGTCTTAGACTACTGTTTGTGGCAAACGCCATAGACTGTGTTTAAGTGACCACAGGCATTTGTCTGCTGGTTCAAAAAAGAAGCTGAGTAGAGCAATAGTGAGAGAGAAAGAGAGAGAACGAAACAGGGGACTAGCAGAGGAAGAAGAAGAGGAAAGAGAGTGAAAGGGGCGCTGCTTGTTTGCTTCTACATTTTTATGAAGATCTTACTATTTTTGTACAGTTGGACTCCATGAAGAAAAAGACACTTTTTAATTGTTTGTTTTTTTAAATCACAGACTCATAGATGTGTCAAATGTAAAATACAATAGCTCTTACTGGGCTTTCCACATCTTCTTAGATCTATCCCTTTAGGTCAAGAATTCCTAATTTTGAATGTACATTTACTACAACTATTTATCTTCTTGCTTATTGGTTTTGTTTTCTTCTTTAATATACAGGTACAGGCCCCACCCTGCCCCATGGGGTAGTTCTAATGTGTGGCCATGTTAAGAGCTGCTGCTTTAAAGACTCCACAAGAAAACTATTAGAACAGATAAACAAATACAGTAAAGTTGCAGGATACAAAATTAATATACAAAAATCAGCAGCATTTTTGTAAGTCAACAGTTAACAATCTGAAAAAGGTATAAAAAAGTATTCCTATTTACCATAGCCACACATAAAATTAAATACCTAGGAATTAACTTCACCAAAGAAATGAAAGATATCTATAATGAAAATTAGAAAACACTGATGAAAGAAATTGAAGAGGACACCAAAAAATTGAAAAATATTTTATGTTCATGGATTGGAAGAGTCAGTATTAATAAAATTTCCATACTACCAAAAGCAATCTACAAGTTCAGTGCAATCCCTATCAAAATACCAAAGATGTTCTTCACATAAATAGCAAAAACAATCCTAAAATGTATATGGAACCACAAAAGACCCAGAATAGCCAGAGCTATCCTAAGCACAAAGAGTGAAACTGGAGGAATCACATTACCTGATTTCAAATTATACTACAAACCTATAGTAATCAAAACAACATGGTACTGGAATAAAAACAGACACATAGATAAATGAAACAGAATAGAGAACCCAGAAACAAATCCACACACCTACAGCAAACCCATTTTCAACACAGGAGCCAAAAGTATACACTGGGAAAAAGACAGTCTCTTCAAAAAACGGTGCTGGGAAAACTGTATATTCATATGCAGAAGAATGAAAATAGACCCCTATCTCTTGCCATATACAAAAATCAAATCAAAATGAATTAAGACCACCTGAAACCATTAAACTACTACAAGAAAACATTCAGGGAAATCTCTAGGATGTTGATCTGGGCAAAAATTTCTTGAGTAGTACCTTAGAAGCATAGGCAACCAAAACAACAATGGACAGAAGGGATCACATCAAGTTAAAAAGCTTCTGCACAGCAAAGTATACAATTAACAAAGTGAAGAGACAACTCAGATTGGAAGAAAATATTTGCAAACTACTCATCTGATAAAGGATTAAGAATCAGAATATATAAAGAGGTCAAACAACTGAATAGGAAAAAATCTGATAATCCAATCAAAAATGGGCAAAGATTTGAATAGATAATATGGCCTGGCTGTGTTCTCAGCCAAATCTCAACTTGAATTGTATCTCCCAGAATGCCCACCTGTTGTGGGAGAGACGCAGGGGGAAGTAATTGAATCATGGGGGACAGTCTTTCCTATGCTGTTCTTGTGATAGTGAATAAGTCTCACGAGATCTGATGGGTTTATCATGGGTTTCCACTTTTGCTTCTTCCTCATTTTTCTCTTACCATCACCATGTATGAAGTGCCTTCCACCTCCCACCATGATTCTGGGGCCTCCCCAGCCATGTGAGACTGTAAGTCCAATTAAATCTCTTTTTGTTCCCAGTTTTGGGTATGTCTTTATCAGCAGTGTGAAAATGGACTAATACAATAGACATTTCTCAAAATAAGTCATGGAAATTGTAAGCAGGTATATGAAAAGGTACTGAACATCACTGATCATCAGAGAAATGCAAATCAAAACTACAATGATGCATCATTTCACCCCAGGTAAAATAGCTTATATCCAAAAGACAGGCAATAGCAAATGCTGGAGAGGATGTGGAGAAAAGGGAACATGTGTACGCTGTTGGTGGGAAGATAAATTAGTACAACCACTATGGAGAACAGCTGAAGGGTCCTCAAAAAACTAAAAATAGAGCTACCACATGATTCAGCAATTCTACTACTGGGTGTATACCCAAAAGAAAGGAAATCAGTATATCAGAGAGATATCTGCACTCCTATGTTTGTTTCAGATCTGTCTACAATAGCTAAGATTTGGAAACAACCTAAGTGTCTATAAACTGATAAATGAATAGAGAAAATGTGGTACATATATACAGTGAATGATTATTCAGCCATAAAAAAGAATGAGATCCAGTCATTTGCTACAACATGGATGAAAATGGAGATCATTATGTTAAGTGAAATAACCCAGGCACAGAAAGATAAACCTTGCATGTTCTCACTTATTTGTGGGATCTAAAAATCAAAATAATTGAACTCATGAACATAGAGGGTAAAATGATGGTACTAGAGACTAGGAAGGGTAGTGGGAGTTTGGTGGGGGGAAGATAGGGATGATTAATGGGTACAAAGTAATAGAATGAATAAGACCTACTATTTGATAGCACAACACGGCAACTACAGCCAATAATAACTTAATTGTACATTTTGAAATAACTTAAAGAATGTAATTGGACTGTTTGTAACTCAAAGAATAAATGCTTGAAGAAATGTCTATTCCATTTTCCATGATGCGGTTATTTCACACTGTATGCCTGTATCAAAGCATCTCAGGTACGTCGTAAATATATGCATCTATTATGTAGTCACAAAAATTAAACATAAGCAAAATTTTTAAAGAAACAAACAAAAACTAACTGCTGCTTTGCTTTGCACCATGAACTCTATTAGAATGTTTTCTCAACTCACTTACAGATGTTCACAGGTTCCTCCTAATAGTATACATGAGATTTTCCCCTTTTCTGTAGAAAAATAAAACACGAACTCCGAAAGAAACTTTCAAACAATTAGCTTCGCCTACATCTAGCTCTGTCACAGCTGTTTACTTTTTCAGCTTTTAATCACCAACATAAAGTTTAAGCTCATACAGTTACTTTTATATTTTTCTGGATTTTTAAATGACTTACAAGTTGATATCAGGATTTTTAAGTCCTCCGTTTGTTCTCCTGACAACATAAATTTGATCAGGAAGCTAAAATCTTAAACTAAAGGCGGATTAAGTCAAGTACCTGCAGAGGAGCTTCAGGATGCTTCTCTCTCTGCACTGGAGCAGCGGGAACTTCCTGAGGGGGCTTTGATGTCTTCCTTTTGGCTTTTTCCATTTGGATATTGGTGAAATAGTTGACAGCAGCAAACTCGATAAGGGCCGAAAATACAAAAGCAAAGCAGACAGCTATGAACCAATCCATGGCAGTAGCATAGGACACTTTGGGCAAAGAATGTCGTGCACTGATGCTTAGTGTGGTCATGGTGAGGACAGTTGTTATTCCTTCAAAGCAAAAGAGCAGAGAGACAAAACACCTTACCATAATTTATATTTAAAAAACCACTGCCACCAACAACAGAAACCTAGAAAATCAGGTGGGATAAGGTTAACAAAACTTACAATAACTCAAACAAAACCATCTTTGATGGAGAATTGGAATCTTAGTGGTTCAATAAAATTAGCACAGGATTTGGAGTGAGAGAAAGATATGGTTCTAATCCTAGTTTTTCTAATAATTGCTTAATAAGTCTTGCGTTGAATTTGGAAAATTCTTTGGTCTTTATTTGACACCTACCGACTGGGTTTTCTATAAAGGTTAAAAGCGTGTAAGGCACCTAGCGCACAGTGGGATGATACTGGAAACTATGCCAACACACCCACCAGACTCAACAGACACACACCTATCAGGAAGAGTAACTCATTGAAGCGCTGACTCTCAGCTAGGAATGGGAAGTGAGGAACACTGTCCTCCTAAATTGGAGCATCAGAATTTCTGGAGTCAAGCATGGACCACTGTTATTGAGAACCACTGCCAGAAAAGGTATAAATTATACATAGGTCTTTCTTATCTTTAAACATTATCTATTGAATTAAAATACTAAATTTACTAGTTGTGCAGAAGCCTCATATATATAAAACAATAAAGTTATATTACTGGACGAATAGATTTCCAGAGCAATTTGGCATTATAAATATTGGACCTATACTACCCATCAGTTCACAGCTGGCTGGAAAATATTTGCAAAAAGAACAGAAGTACTTCTCCTCCATCAATAGTCTTCTGAAGCACCACATCCAGGAATGCTTTTTCCTTAGCTTGGAAAAAAAGTCAGTTTCCACTCTTAGTAGAAAAATTCTCCTTGCCACTGGTACTATAGAGTAACACGTTATTTAAGAATGCTAATATTTGGGCACTTGTCCATTTCTGCATGTATATATGTCTGTCTAACCCATATTATACAGTTAAGTCTGGAAATTTTTGCGAGGATTTACTACATTCATTTAAACTGATTCTACATAATGACTAGGATAGCTCCTGAAGTTGACACACAACATGTTTGGGGATGGGGATGATGATAATAATAGAACAATGATGTTGAAGGCATTTAAACTGCATATTCCAATACCAATCCCCAGCTGAAAGGCAAATAATGCATGTTCAACCAAAGAGATAATAAGTCCAGTGCAATATTGAAGGAATAAAACATTTTGACTTGGGGAAAATAATAGGTCTCCTCAATTCAGAATTTTGTTGTATTCTGCCTACTACTATTCCTTAACTGATACATGTGTGTAACCCTCATTTCCACAGCTTTATTAACCATAGTCTTCTTGGGGGCAGACAAGTCTAAGGTTGCTTCAGGTTTCTATTTCACATAGTGCTAGGCACAAGATAAATCCACGGAAATAAAAACTCATTTTTCCACTTCCTCACCAATCCATTTTCTCTGAAATCCAGTCTCTTCTAAATCTTCAATGCTTAGAACATGAAAAATTGGAGCAATTGTGCAGCACATGAGCTACACAGCATTTATAAAGATCTGAGACCCCACACAGAGAAAGAAACTTGAGAATTTGGTTGTATTCCCTTTTAAAAATATTTTGTGACATTGTTAGCATTCTTATTAGTCTAAAATAGATTATAAAATGAATTTATTCAAATATATAAATATCTAAATATCTATAAAAATGCTATATTGTGAATTTATTGGATTTTATTTCAGAAAGAGACCTTGGAACATTTAGGCCTTCATTTTGAATCTCAGAAAAGTGGCACCATTCCCATGTTGGCTGTGAGATATATGAATAAACAATAAAATAACTGAAAATTTTTAGCTACGTTTGATGATAGATTAAAATGTTTTTCTTGTTCATAACAATTTAAATTTAATGGAGTATTAAGAATTCAAAAAAGTTCTATAACTTTCTCAGATATGTAAGCAATATTTTTCCTCTAATGTCATAGAAACAATGCTAAAAGCAGTTAGAATAAAATATGAACAGTACAGTATAAATAATAATACTACTCAGTACACAGAAAATTCTACAGAGACCATACTCTGATAACCAAAAAAGATACTCAAATTCAAATATAAGCAATTTAAGATTCCCTATGTCACTTTGAACTATTTTTTTTTTTGTAATAGGACTATTTTTCTTGTTGATCAGAAGTAGTGGTCTTTATCTTCTCCTCTTATCATGTGAATGCCCTTACCAATGTCAAGCAAACAGAATACTAATGCAGTTATTGACCCATAAATTCAATAATTACTTTCCAATTGTTTAGGAGGATAGATCACCAAGTTCATGAGTTAAATGATGATGTGGACACCAACACACACACACACAAACACACATGCTGGATAGGTGGCTACCTTCCACTTATCTTGCATTATTTTCAATCAATTTGATTTTAAAGTTTGTAGAATAGCCCTCCAGATACTATGGTTCCTACTTTATGACACTGGCAAAACTGGGAAATTAGCTGGCACAAACATTCGGCTAAGTATTTAAATGTTGTCACCTCTTTCGACATTAAAATTTATCTCTCCTGGTGTTAAAATTTAAAGAAAGAACTGCCGTGACAAGGGTATGCTTATTATACTTGGTCTGAAGTGGAACATTTGATTAAATGAAAACCAGTGGAATAACAAACAGAAACCAACTCTTCAGAATAAGAATCCATGTTTCCTTTGCATCCAAGAAGACAATTCATCTGTCGTGTATGGCTTAGCCGGCACCTACCCTGAACACATTTAAAAGCCACATTTAAAAAAATATATCCAATTATTGATGCCATTCCCTGCATTTAGCATGCTGAATATGCACCATATTGGCTGGCCTAGAAGCTGAGTGAGGATGTGTAAGAGTAGGCAAAGACTGTACACAAGAGTGAATTTTTGGCTGGCCACTCCTAGAAAATGAAATAGCAATGATTAAGATATGCCAGCTGGCATTTACTTGTGTTTAATGTTTTACTATACTGGAATAATTAGAAAACTTAGAGGCATACAGCTTTGGAGATAGAAGGTCTTTGGAGAGATTTTTAGCACACTCTGCTCCTTTCATTACACTGATTTTTTTTTTTTTTGGTTTTGGTTTTGTACAGTCTCTAATGATATCTCTGACCCAACAAATTATCTTCTTATGAGTGGAAAGGGAAATAAGAGTTAGGGAAGAAAAAAATTTGCCCAGAATTAATATTTACCTAAATCTCATATGCAAATAGATTTCTAATTTCCTCCTAAATACTTAAAACTTAACTTTCCTAAGAAAGTACCTTCATAGACCCTCAATGATAGTCTAATAGTTATCAATATGACACATCTTAGGTCTTTGAACACTTAATTACCGACATAATTTCTCTGCTCAACTAAAAACAGTATCTTGGCACATGGGCACAAAAGATGGGCAAATTTCCAATTAAAAAAACAAAAAAACAAAAAACAGCCACAAAGTATCTTTAGCACACATCCGTATAATCTCACTCAGCAGCTCTGGAATTCTCCATAAGCCCCCACATCCCCACACCTCCTGTGAAGACAGAATGACTGAGTTGTCAAAGTTAGATAGAAATTGTCTTGGGTCCACCAATTACAATTTGACTTCACAGAAGTTTCTTAATATGTTTGAGTCATTTTCCTTATCTATAGAAAATAATGACTACTTTACTGAGTAATTATTAAGGTTAACAATATTTGGCAAATCTGTTTATCTTTGGTACTACTAGTATCCTTACTTCTTGCTACTTAGTTTTCTTAAAATGTCTTATTTGGATAGGAAATGTTGGGTGAGTACAGCTGTAATCAATACTAGTCTTCACCGCACCACTGGAAATTTCTATTATTTGGGGACAAGTGAGATGAACAGTAGCTATCAGGTTGTAATCAATCAAGAAATAAATAAAAGGTTATCAAGCCATCACAATAATAATAATATATGGCAGGTAGTCACATTAATATATCAAGTAATGATTCTCAAATGAAGTAGATAGCAGCATGGAATGCCATACTAATAAATAACACTTAAATCATATTTTCTATGCATGTGGCATTATTTCAAGTGCTTTTCTAAATCAACTCATTTAATCCTTAGAGCAGTCCTATGAGGTACATGCAATCATTCATCCTGTTCTAACACATGAGGAAGCAGGCAAAGGTAACTTACTGAAGGTCCACAGCTAATAAGTGATAGTCCCTGGGTAAGAAACTAGGCTTTTTGCCTCCACATTCTGCACTTATGGCACCATCACCCCTTGATTACAGGCACCTATGATGGATCATTAATTGCTGTTCTATACGCTCTTCAGGATCATTTTTTCTTAAAAAACAATATGTATACAAGAGTTTTTTTATTTGTAAGATATAGTAGAAACTTCTGTGTTTTCTTTTTAATTTTTAATGAGGGTAGCTCCTGAAATATTTATAATTTTTTACAAGAAAAAGTTAACAGACTTCGGATGCTCAGCCTCAGTAGATACTTCTTGCCTAGTCAAAGTGCTTGAAAAGATGATGTGTGAAGACACAAAATTAGCTTGAGTGTTAAATGAGATAATGAACATCAAGAACTTAGCAGAGCATCCAATAGTACACACTAGAAAGTTATGCTTTCTTTAAAACATTTAAAAGTCAAGAAAACTAAATCAGAACAAAATCTATCTTCCTTAGATTGGAGAAGTATTGGAGTAAGTAATTAATATGAACCAAGTGGTCCAGACACCCTATATTGAGTACTATACATAATTTTTTAAATCCTCACTAGTCTATGAAGGTGAGATATATTGTCACAATCTTATGAATGGAGAAAATAAGTGGCAGATTTGGGTTTAAACCTAGACTTGCTGACACCCACAGTTTAGATTTGTTGTTTTCTCTCTTCTGTTTTCAAATCTACATTTAAGAGATAAATTTTATTCAACACTTTGAGTTGTGCAGTTATTCTTTAATTGAACCCTCATAACTCTTTAAGGTACCATTATACCTCCTCATTGCCTTCCTAAGATCACACCCTCCCTCCACCATTGCCCCCCGATATGAGTTTCTCTAGTATAATTGCAATACCTTTTTTTCTATTTTTGTAATGCATCCTCATACTCCAACACATTCTTAAAGAAACCTAAGATTAAAGGGAGGATAGCTATCTATAGAGTATTTCAGATCCATTGAAGACACTAAGACCCCCTAATCAACAGTTCTCGAAAAGGATGGGGAGGTAGGATGAAAAGTTCCCATTCTATTTAGTTCATTTGCACCAGCATCTCTTCAGCTATTGTGTGATAAGGGATATTATACCATGGCTGTGATCCTACTAGGTAGAAAAGCAAAGAGGAATTGGCAGTCTTGTGAGGACTACACCACAATTCCAGAGCAATTCTGATCGTTTTTCTTCTTATTCTACTACTGAATGCTTTTGTTACTCACAATGAACAGAGAAATAATAGAGAAAGACATTAAAATGAACATAATTATAACAAATTCTACTATTTAAAAAGCATGACTGATATGTAGAATACAGTGTAATAAAAATTGTAAACTCATATGCTCTGAACTTTATATGGTTCAGAATACTATACAGTATATATGAAGCCACAATGAAAACAAAAAGTAAGAACAATGTTTAGAAAAAAAGAAGTATGTAAGTAGATGAGCTTATAAACTAAGCACATAATACCTCCCAATTCAATGCATTTAAACCATTTGCATTTTGGTCCACTTCATTAAAAGCTAAATTATTCTAAGGCTTTCATATTCATTCAGCCATGACTTTTATTTGTTTTATTTTAAGCTGCCAATGCATTTCATTTTAACACGCAGATATAATTTTAATTCAATTACACAGCATTCTACTAGGAGCCCAAGAATATCACTAAAAGTGAGATTATGTCCAGATTCACATTTGGTCTACACCTGTCTGGTGCTCAACAAGGGAAATCTGATGCATGGCCCCAAAGGAAAGGAAGGGTGCCTGAATCTCCCCAGGCTTTATTACTTTGTAGTGGCTACATAAAAATGAAAGCCTATATGATTCCTTATTCAGGATAGCCTGATGTATTAGGGTTTAAGATTTTCTTAGAAATATCCCATGAATCACGAATAAAATGTAATGTGAACAGAAATACCCAAGAAATGAATTGCAATTACCAAATACAGTCCTAGCGGGAACTGATTCTTTATTTATCCAGAATGAAACTTGAGAAAGAATCACTGTCATAATGCATGGAATATAGGTCTGAATCATAAAATAACCCATCTTCCGTCTGAGGTGGAAGTAAACCGTCATAACAATATATTCACCTGCCAAGAAAACAGGAGGAAAATGTGTTATCGGTTCTGCAGGCAGTTAGTCAATGACTTCTTAAACATATTTCAGACTAACAAACAGTATTCTAAGGAAAGAAATTCTCTTTTGTGCATAGCTTCACAAACATCAATAAGTATGTAGTTTCCTAACGAGGGAGAAAATGATATTGAACATTATTATACAGAAAAACACTTTGTTCCATGTAATGATTAAGCAATTTAACAAATTGGGCTAAAACTTTTTAAAATTTTCTGTAGTGCTTTCTATTTTGATGATCTAATATTGCTAAGGCAATTAGCTTTCATTTTCAGCGTTTTTTAGAAACAACATTTAGACCTAACTTCTATGGAAAACCACCAGAAAAAAATAGAAATGCACACAGTTACACATACACAGACACTGACATATACACACCCATTTATGAAAATATAAAGTTTAATTTTAGAAAGGAATAAATATACATATTTTATTTATATATAAATATATATGTTTCATTCATATATAGATTTCATACACAATCACAAGCTTAGAGAGAGACTACCTTAGTTTTAGGAAAGAGGTGAATTTCTGAATGTTCTTTATATGAAGAAAAATATAGACGTGTATAACAGACAAGCATATATGACACCCCTGAGTTCAAGCATGTTTTACTGGCATTTAGACAAAAACCTGATTTCTGGTAGCTGTTGATAAGTATTTTTACTGTTACATCTCAAAATAATATGTCAAAAAAGTTACCTAGGAAGCAGTGGTCTTATTCACAAACCGTGAGTCCAGCATTCAGAAACCTCACATCCTACCAGTTGTGTTCCATATCCCACTTGCAGACTGGAAAATAAATGCCCTTCCAAAAATGTATTTTCTTAGACAGATGAGAGGCAAAGTGCCCTCTTAGAAAGCTACTGTATTGTTTCATGACTGATGTGAAGAAGGTTTCCTCAAAATGAAAACAGTCATGACAGGTGTCATAAAGATAAAAGTAATGGAAATTTACTGTGACTTATACAAAGCAGTTTTAATAGTAGAGACAGTGGACTAAATTCCTTTTTTAAAACAAAGGCTTATGTATTAATTTTATTTATCCATAATAAATTTCCATTTTATCTTATTTATGTTTAATTTTTAACCAATTTTTGAGGTATGATTGACATACAAAAAGCTGTACATATTAATGTATACAACTTAATGAGTTTGGAAATAAGTATACACTCGTTAATCTATCACCACAATCTATGCCACAAACATATACATCACCCCCAAAAGTTCCCTCCTTCTTATTTATTACCTTCTCTGATAAGAACATTTGAGATCTACTCTTTCAGCAAATTTTTAAGTAGACAATACAGTACTGTTCACTATATGCACTCTGCTATACAGTAGATATCTAGAATTTATTCACCTTATATAACAGAAATACTATGGCCTTTGACTAATATCTCCCTGTTTCCTCCTCCCGGAGGCCCCTGACTACCACCATTCCTCTCACTGCTCTGAGTTTGACTATTTTAGCTTCATCATCCCTTCACAACACTGCTTTATCCATTTTTTCTTAAAACAGAAGCAAAAACTTCATTATCTCACATCTTTACTCCAGATCTTAAAACTACTCATTTTCTACTAATGCAGTCTTAGCATTTTATCTCTCAGTCAACACCTTTTTAAGAACACAAACTCAGAAGTTAACACTTAGATTTGAAATTTGGTTTTGCCAGTTATTAGCTATACAACTTAGGCAAATACATTGTACGTAAACCTTTCTCATGTATAAAATAAATGTTATGGTGGTATCCACTTCATGGGATGGTTATGAGAAAAAATACATAGAAAGAATTTAGAAGGGCGCCCGTCACATGGTAATTGCTGAATAAAGTTTAGCTATCGCTATGGCCTAAATGTTTGTGGTCCTCAAAGTTCAAATGTTGAAACATAATAGCCAACGTAATGATAAGAGGTTGGCTTTGGGGTGATTAAACCATGATGATGGAGTATTTATGAATAGAATTAGTGCCTTTATAAAAGAGGCCCCAGTGTGAACACCCACTCCCTACACCTTGGGGGTCCCCATGTGAGGACTTATTCATAGAAGGTACTATTCTGTGAACAAAGAAATAGGTCCTCATAGAACACTGAATCTGATAGCACCTCATCTTAGACTTGTCAGCCTCCTGAACTATGAGAAGTAAATTTCTGTTGTTTTTGAGCCACCCTGTTTGTATTGTTTTGTTACGATGGCCCAAACAAACTAAGATAACTATCATCAAAAATATTTTTTTCTGGTGACATGTGTATGTAAGGAACAGTCTTAGAACAAGCAATAATCAGCTAATTTTTCCACTAAAAATGATTAAAAACTAAATTCTGTAATTCTTTCTATTCACATTCCAAAAGAAAAGAGAGACCAAGAATCATCAATAATAAGCATCCTCCTGACTCATGAAATAACTTTAATGTACACCCATAATATACTTTGTAATTAAGCTTGAGATTTTTGTTTACTTTCAGAAAACAAGAGAAGGTGACACCATAAAATTGGGCAAGATAAAATAAAATTTTTGGAAAGCCCCACAAAAATCATCAAAAACCAAAAACAAAAACAAAGCAAAGACAAAAAACAAAATCAGACTTCCTACCACATAATTTTGTGAAAATAATTTTAACATATTTGATTACTGGCTTTCATTTCTGAATAAGAAAACCAACTCACTTTTAGCATCTTACTAAATCGGAATTTATTTTAAACTAAAGTAAGATTATAAATATAAAGAAATTATGAGCTGTAACTCATGCATCAACTCTATTTCTGGAAAGTGTTTGTTGTTCTCCTGAAAAAAATAAATAACTATTTCAACGAAAAAGTCAGGAGAAAACTCTATTGCTAACACCAAGTAGCATATCAGCTTTAATTATGACACATCTCACCCGTAATCGATTTGATGGTTTCACTTGATACGGTTTGCCCAATCAAATCATATTGAACTAAGCTGGAAGACTCCTTCGGCACTTCAACTGATTTCTCAGGACCTTTTGTCCAGGTGTAGATCATCTCACTCTTTGGATAGGCATCTAAAAGAGAGCACAGAATGTGGTTAGAGTCAATGCTCCTTTTTCATCTGCATCAGTGGTCAACACTTAAAAACAGTACTTGTTCAAGAAAGATGGAATAAATGAAAACAACGTTCACTATAATTTAGTCAAATATGTTTAAAACTTAGAAAACTAGAGATTAAGTAAATACCCTTGCAACTCAACAGCATTTATTTTTTATGCCAAATAATTGGAGGAGGAGATATTAAAACTGAGGCATCTAAAATGCTACATATGCACCAATACACTTGGATGTGTGTCCATGCTAGTAGGATAAACAGTTCAAAAGCAGATATATTAAACTACCAAAACCGTACTGTCAAGCTCTTACTTCTTTCACTTCTGATTCACTTCCAGTGCTTGACCAATACCATCCTAACACAGTTCTGCTATTTAGAAACGTACCGTATGCTGCCTGTAATAATACAATAACAAAACCAAACAAATTCTATTGTTAGGAGAGTTCCCCTGGGGTCACCTCTTCCAAACTCTGCCTCTGGGCAATATCCCTGCGTTTGGGGACTGTTGTACAGTGACAACTGGCTATGTTTTTTGTAAAGCTGTCCAGGGAATATAATTATACAACCAATTCCACTACCTTTAATTTCTTACAATCAGGACATTTCCCCTTCCATCTTAAACAAATCTCTCCCAGTGGCAATTTAAGCCCATTTCTATTATTTGGCACTCTGTTCAAATGGAGACCAGCTGCTTGCTTACCAGTCTACCCATAACAGACAGCTTGGCTCACACACAAGAAAGAAAGTTCAAAAGAACCAAAATGGATTGTGTGTCAACCTCCCTCCAAACCATCCTAAAATGGCTATAGCATAGTAGCTCCTCAATGGAATCATTTCATTCTATGAAAGAAGTTGACACTTACGAGCACCTTACAAAACAATGAGGCTTGTGTTGTCATTTTAGCATCATTCAGTTATATTATCTGTCAGCCTTTATCTCCAGAAATATATTCACGCTTCAGTAAACTGTTACAGCCTCTGTATACTATGTTCTTGTCTATGATATTGCAAATTAAGTATCCTTCCCTTGGCTACCCTTACATTGCTAGAATGACCTTTTTCTTTCCTGGTTTTTCTAATTCCTCTGAATTGTAAGCATGGGGGTTTAAATAGTGTTATTTTTCCCTGTTTCCAGAGTAATTAGCAATCCTTACCTGCTCAGTATGGTGTGCCTCTCTTTTTAATTCCCAATCCAAAAACATCCGCTTCCAATGTGCAATTTCTTTATTTTATACCAACTCTGATTGAACACTAACTATGTTCAAGTCCTTCTGAAGAGAGCTTTTTCTGAGAACTAGAGGTTGGGATGCAGGGAGTGAAAAGGACTTCCTCTACGTGAGAACTAATTTGGGTAAAATTTGAATGATTACAGCACAAATGGATTTTAATTCTGGCCCCAATGAGATCACACTGTCTATGTATTTTTCTGCCTTTATCTTCTCTCATTAAATTATTGGTAAGAGAACATATTACTTTCCCTGGCTTCAAGTTAGCCCACTGAATATTGTGATTACTAAGGGTTATAAAAAGAATAGTGACTGTCGATTCTCATTAAGTTAAGCAATGAGCGATGATAACAGCAGGCAACAGTTTCAAAATCAGTGCAACTAAGAATCTGAAGCAATAGTAAAAGCCAGCATCTATTTTTGGTAGATTCTGATTGAATTGAAAATGTGAGGCAGACCTTAGAAAAGGCAATCACATTTTGCTGCCATCTCAGAGAAGGGACCTTAAGGGAAGGAATCTCATATTATTTTCTATCCATTCATCTCATCCTGTTGCCTTCATTTTCTACAAAATTTCCCAAACATATCTATTTCACAGTTTCTCCTCTAGTACCATCCTAGTCTAAGTCACTGCCATATTTGCTTGTACTAAAACAACAGCCTCCATTTCTCTGCTGCTTCCACTCCAGTCTCTCTACCACCCATTCTAAAAAAAGTAGAAGTGGAACTGTAAAATGTCAAAGAAAGCTGCATTGTTTCATCAAACCTTTGAAAGGCTTCCCATAGCTTTTAGATAGAATGCAAACTCCTTAATGTGGTATATAAGGCATTATATTATCTCAGACCACACCCCTACCATGCTTTTGCTATGCTTCAGTCACTGTTATACCAGCAGTGCTTGCTTCTGTCATTTCAAGCTATACGATGTCAGGAAGCTCTGAACCTTTTAAGGATTTCCTCCAAGTTGGCTATGAAGGACTCTGCTTACAATAGAATATCTGTCTGTCTATCTATCTATCTATCTATCTATCTATCTATCTATCTATCTATCTCTCTCTCTCTCTCTCTCCAAAGTGATATATATTATAATTAAATAAATTATATAGATATATATTTATCTATATAATTTGTACTTTCTGTGTAACACCACCAACACATAGAATTCAGAGGTCCCTAAATTTCACCACTTATCACCAATCAATTGTGACTAAGAGTACTTAGATTATCTGTTAAATAGGTTTTTGTTTGTTGTGGGGAAAGGAGGTTGTTTTTATTTCTTTATTATAAAATAATAGTTAATGGAATCTCCAGAAATAAATCCAGGCAGTTTTTGTTATGGACCATGACTTAAATGTTGGATTATGAAAAATAAAATACATATGTAAATATCAACTTGCATGAGGTAATCATAAATTCTAACAAAATTTTTATTATAACTTACAACTCCCGAATTTCAAAGGGCATGCATGACCATCCATGGGAAAATCCACCAATCTCATGGGACACTCCGCACTTATGGTGAGTCTATGATGAAAAATGCAATTACATAAAATCAACCCTTTTAAAAAAATAATTATGATTTTATATTCTAAAATAGGAAGGAAGGGAGGGAAGGAGGAAGGAAGAAAGGAGGGAAGAAAAGGAAGGAAGGGAAGGAGGGAGGGAGGAAGGAAGGAAGGAAGGAAGGAAAGAAGGAAGGAAGGAAGGAAAGAAAGAAGGAAGGAAAGAAAAGAGTAAAAAAGAAAGGGAAGAAGTAAAAAAAAAAACCGATTACCTCATTGTGTATAAAATAGTACCATTTCTCATAATTCTAAAAAGCTTATTTGGAGCTGTCATATTATGTGAGACAGATTTCTTTCCATTCCTGAAGAAAGTATCAGGGGTCCATACTTTTGTTACCATCATATTGTTCAATCTCAAAATTTCAATGGGGCCATCATACTTTAGTCTTTTGTCAATCCATGTCTGTCTGAAGAACACATCCATTGTGTATTCCTAGGGCAATTATTTTGGAACATATTTAAGTCACAAATGACTACATATAAGTATGTGAAAATAATGCATTACATTCTGTCCCCCTTCATGCTCATAAAAAAGACCATTGCAAATAAAATTAATAGGAGCAGGAATGATCTTGAATCAATGGAGCAAAAAGATTCTCAGCAATTAGAGTAACTTTTATTCATCTTGACGCCTTCATCTTCTGCATTCATAAGATAAATAAATTACCACACATACTCATTATCTAATAATACATTTGCTATAATTTAAGAAAACCACCAGTACCAGGTAGTTACAGTTGTGTTTTACTTTAGACCAGATAGCAAAAATCAGTTAATGTGTAAAAAGTATCATGCTAATTAATCATGTAATTTTAGGCATTTTAAAGACAAAGTAATATGTGTAAAAGATATTTTATTTTCACAAAGTTTATTAAAATTAGTCAAATAACTCAAGGGTTTCGAATTACTAGGAGCTTTAGATCAAGGAATAAACTAAAGTAAGTTTTTTGTCATGTAAACTAAGTATATTTAATATAAGATAGCACAACTGTATGAATGAATTCTTCCTGACCAGTGCTTGGTATTCTAAGCTCTTAAACATGAATGAGGAGGAGAGAGAAGGGCTGGGATGGGCAGCAAGCAATTAGATCAGCATGAAATACTAAATACAACGAAAACTACAAAATAGTGTACACAACTAGTTCACACTGAAACTAATTATCATCTCTAATTTTCTCCCCCTCAATAGTTTCCTAAAGAAAAAACAGCCTGGCACGGTGGCTCATGCCTGTAATCCCAGCACTTTGGAAGACTGAGGCAAAAGGATCACCTGAGCTCAGAATTTCGAGACCAGCCTGACCAACATGGAGACACCCTGTCTCTACTAAAAAACGCAGAATTAGCTAGGTGTGGTGGCGCACACCTGCAATCTCAGCTACTCAGGAGGTTGAGGCAGGAGAATCACTTGAACCTAGGAGGTGGAGGTTGCAGTGAGCAGAAACTGCGCCATTGTACTCCAGCCTGGGCAACAAGAGTGAAACTCCATCTGGAAGGAAGGAAGGAAGGAAGGAAGGAAGGAAGGAAGGAAGGAAGAGGAGGGAGGGAGGAGGGAGGTGGGAGGAAGGAAAGGAGAGGAAGGAAAGGAAGAGGAAGGAAGGAAGGAGAAAGGAAGGAAGGAAGGAAAGGGAAGGAAGGAAGGAAGGGGAAAGAAAGAAAGAAAGAAAAAGAAAGAAAAAGAAAGAAAGAAAGAGAAAGAAAGAAAGAAAGAAAAGAAAGAAGGAAGGAAAGAAAGAAGGAAAGAAAGGGAAAGAAAGAAAGAAGAAGAAAAGACAAAACAAAAACAAAAAAAGCTACACCCCACGTTGTGCTATAGGAACCAGTAATAGGAAAGTTCTTCTCTTTGTTTAGAATGACCCTAAATCAACAAGCACTCAAATGTTACAGCTGAAATGCAAATTGAACGAGATTCAATGTCTTACTCTTTATACATTCTTAAGTTTAATTAGGGGTTCTTTGGGTTTCTGGCTTTGCGTGATTGACAATGAAATAAATATTAATTGCCCTCTTTTCTACATGTTTTCTTCAAGTCTCAAAAGGTAAATTAAACTTCGAAAATACCTACCATTTCAACATCAGAAACAGGTCCAAAGCTGGTGACATATATGTCAGTTTTCACTTCTGTAACAGGACCTAGCGGGTATGAAGTGAATAAGTGTGAAAAAATAATTACCAATTTTACAGGCTTGGATGGTTAGATAATTACAGAGTAAATACATATATGATATATCATGTTTCTACAAGCATCTTAAATTTTCAGTGAGATAATGAATCTCTACAAAAAAATGTAGACCAAAGCACAACAAAACCAGAAAGCAGTGTTTACTTACAGGCAAAAAGAAACCCTAATTACTTACCAGGAACCTTTCTTAAATATACATCACCCCTGGACACTGTTACAACAGGCAATGCAGAGACACAAAAGTTTTTAACCTTTGTGATATTTTATAGTCCACCATCTGATTGGCCTCTATAAAGAAGTGAGCTGTTAAAAAGGGGAAGTGTGGCCACAGGAGCAAAGAAGAGAAAAACCATAACAGCTGTAAGGACTGTATCCTTGGAGAGTTGAGGATACCAGTAAATAATTTTAAAAATGATTCATGTCACCTTTATCAAAAGGCACACCATCCACTACTGATTGGAATCAAAGACAAACTTTTTTATAAGTAACAGCTACTTATGCTCTGCCACCTACTAACTGTACAAACTTGTGCAAGTTATTTAACTCCTCAATAGTAGCAACCACAACCATCAGGCAAGATTTTGATAGCGATCAAATGAAATTGCTGAAATAAGATGCTCAGCAAAGCGACTATCTCATGAAAGTACTCATTCCATGTGAGGTTCCCTTTGCTTCTGACAATGGCTCCTATTGAGACTCTTTCCTGTATCTAAATAAGACTAGTTCATGAAGCACATAGGTGTTTTGGCAGAAGAGAAATGTGGGAGCATAATGACAATATGGCTAACATAGATTTTAGACTTGGGAACACAATCTGGGTTTAGCACAATCTGAGTTTAGCATGAAACTTAAAATCAGAAAGTTTGGAGTTCACATTTGGTTCTAACACCTTCTAGTAATATCATCTTCAAGTCATATATCCCCATAGGTAAAGATATTAATGAGTATTAATTGCAATAATACTTGTAAATCATTTTCCCAGTCTCTAGAATAGAATGTGCTCAATAATGACAATAGTCATTATTATGTATAAAATAGCATTTTAATACAAACAAAAATATAAAAATTGTTGCCACTTGAACATAACAACGGTTTATAATACTGTATAGCCAGAGGCTAGATATTCCATAGGAAGAATGATATCTGCTATAAAGATGGAATAATTTCTCACTTGGATTCTTGCTTGGGAAATGGGATTCATGCCAAAAAAAAAAAAAAAAAGGCAAAGAGAAATTGGTATTACTTAATACCCTAGTTCTAAAGTTATCCTCATAAAAATGAATCTGAATATTTCTTCTTCTAAAGAATGAAGATTGATCCACACAAAGAAAGGTAGCTCAAGGGAGAATGAGAAAATTCCTTATTGAATAAATATCCTAAGAAAAATAAAGCCTTAGGCAGTATAGTAAGAGAAAAAGTCTGGATCAGGCTTATCTATCATGAGATTTAATTTTTTCAAGACTACATTTATGGAAAGCAGAAAAGTTAATTAGACTTTTATTTGAATGAAAATTGGAGAAAACAACAGCAAAACATGATAGTAATAAGCTCATTAATGTCAAATTGTTCCAGGAATAGTTAAGTAGTCCAGGAAGCAGGTAATATGTGCTGAACCCTGGAAGATAGCAATTTCACTCAAATAGGTTCAACAGTGAAACAAATCACTATGTTAGTTTCTTAAGGACAATTGTCAGAGTATTAAAAAGCAGAAACACTATGTCATTGCAAGTCAGGGCAAGTGGTGATAAGTTACTCGAATAATTAAAGTTGGTTATGTCCTGGCAACTAGACTATTTGACAAGATTCTTGAGAAATCAAAAGTTACTTTGATGATCAGTTTAGGGAAGTGGTTCTGATATATCTGTTAAAATACAGATTGTTGAACTCCACACCTCGATATGCTGATTTAGTACTAGGCATAAGGTGTGGCCTCACAATTTGCATTTCTAACAAGTTCCTAGCTGAGGCTGTTCACTTTACTCTATTTTACAGTGTTCATCTGTTTTCTAGGATAGTATTTACAACACCGTGTGCTATAAAATATTAATATCATAGGTATTTCAGGGGAGCGAGGAGTCTAGGAGAGAAAAGAATTAGGCCAATGATATTTTTCCTTATACATTTATTTTAAAGTGTGTGGGTGTATGCTAATTCTTGTAGTTCTATAGTTACAATGATTCCATGATAAGAATGAACATTTTCCAATTCTTGCATAACACGCTACTTTCTCAATGATTCTTGAATAATGTTTTGTGTTCAAAATTATAACCTTAGTATTTGTGACATTCATGATTCAGTATTTGCCTTATATGTTCCTATGGATCTTTGAGACCGAGTGAGATCCTAAAAACATTTGTTTAGTAAAGGGATTTCCTTCAGACATTCATTCAATAAACGTTTATTGAATGAGTGCCAGTTGTGTGTTGGGTTCTGTGCTAGGCTCTGATGCTACATTGGTAAACAAGACTCAGGAATTCCCTGCCTCAAAGAGCTAACATGCCATTGGGGCAGTCAGAGTATGAATACAGTAGTAAAATGATAAACTAAATGACAGAACGCTATCATTTCTAAGAGGAAAAATACAGGATGGTAAGAGAGTGGGAGACTGGGAAGGCCATTCCTGATTTGCAGTCACAGCTGCTTCTTCAAAGCAGTGACTTTTAAACTCAAACTTGGAGAATGAGCATGAGCCATTGCAAGAGCTTGGGAAGCTGGATTTCAGGCAGAGAGAACTGCAAGAGGACAAGATCAAAGACAGGAAAAGGGCTGAGTGTATTCAGGGACTAGAAAGGGGGCCAGTGGGGCTGAAGCAAAGCAAGGGAGGGACAGAATGATGAGAAATAAAAGTCACAAAGATAGAATGAAAACCAGGGTACAGTGGATAGAACACCTACCCCCGAACTCGTATTCTAAAAAGCGGCATGTTTTAAGCAACACACTTATAATATATGCTATGGTGACTGTAGTTAAAACTACATGGAAAATAAGTTGTAAATATATCAGTAAAAGATGGGGAGCTACATAGAGTATTGTTATGAACTAAATTGTATTCCCTCCAAATTCCTATGATGAAGTCTTAATTCTTGGTACCTCAGAATGTGACCATATTTGGAAATACACTTTTTAAAGAGACACTAACGTTAAAATGAGGTTACTAGGGTGGGCCCTAATCCAATATGACTGTGACCATATCAGAAGTGTAGATTAGGACACACACACACACACACACACACACAGCAGAGACAATGTGAGCATGGACAGAAGATGGCCATATAGAAGCCAAGGAGAGAGGACTTAGAAGAAATCAATTTTGCCTACACTTTGTTATCTCCAGAACTGTGAAAAATTAATTTCCTATTGTTTAAGCCACCCAGTCTGTGGTACTTTGTTATGGCAGCCTTAGAGAACCCAAAGGTTAATAGTTTTTCCTATGTTTTTTCTTGGAGCTTTCTTCTTCTGATAATTCAGTCTGTCTCTGTCTTTACTTGCAGGTTGTGGTAAGAAGTTTGATTTGTATCCCGTAATCACTGGGAGCCCACTGAGGGTTTGAAGTAAGGGAGTTTATATGATTAGATTATATATTTTACAAAATTATTCTGCCAATGGTATTGACAATACATTACAGGGAAGCAAAAGTAGAAGAAGGGCTCTTCTAAGAGGCTGCTATATTGGTCAAGTTGAGAGTTGGTGATAACAGCTTGGACTAGGGATGTGGCAGTGGGGTTGAAGACTGGACAGATTGAGGGGCAGGTGTGCTCACAGGGTGTGGGTATTTTTCAAAGAACAATAAGTAAAGTTACAATAATTACTATTTATTAAAGATCAATTATTTGCCAGGTAGGTTATTAGGTTCTTCCCATATACTATTTCATGTAATCTTCACGACACCCTCCAAAGGCGCTATCCTCATGAGAATGTTATGGATCTGGAAACTGAGTTCACAGAGACTAAATAATGTATGACAGAGCCAGAAATCTAATCCCCTTATATTGATCTCCAAAGCATGTGCTAGCTTTACTATACTATATAACATCACCAATAATAAATTATTAACTACTTAAGCAAATGTGGAATTTCATATCTAGAATATAACATGCTATACCTACATTTCCTGCTTTGTTCGTTAGTTTCTAAAGTATTTTCTCACAGTGCTTTTCACGTCTTTACTATTATTCCTATTACTGTATACTGCCTGGGTCTTTCTATCTGTAACAGCAAAGGCAAAATCTTAATCGTTTTTGAAGTCCCAAACTAGCACAACGCCTTGCACATATTAGGCGATGAATAACTGTGTTTCATCATGCTCCTAATATCATCCCAGTAGTGATTTAAAAACCCATCAAAAGAAAAAATTAACAGAATTACTTTCCACAGCAATTAAACTAAAAATATTTCCCATTTTTAGAAACTGTGTCTTATTTGTATTTGTATCCTCTGGCAGGACCAATCACAGGTTTTAAATGTAATAGGCCGCTGATAAATCAGTTGTCAATGAATAATGGTCACTATGTAATTAAGAATAACTCTTAGAGACACCTCCTCTAATACGACAGTTTAGGATGTTCAAATCAACCTTACTAAGAGTATAATTACATGGAAACCAGATAATTTTGAACTTGGAAGGATTTCTTCCCATAATTTGGTATGCATTTGTGCAACATTAAAGACGTCTTTTAGTTTACAATTCTACATTGTTGGTAGTAGGGATACATTTTTTAATACCGAAAATATAGTTGACAGTCTGTAAGGCAAACAAGATGATTCAACAGTTTTTGGGAAAGAAAGAGCCAAGACCAGCAAGATCAAATTCAGGGAAATATTCCCATCTAATTAATGAGTCTAACTTGTTGGGAAAGAGGGAAGGCAATTAACAATGAATCAGATAATTTCCCAATTTACTTAATTTTAGCAGTACAGATATGGTTAAAGGGTGGAATCATTTTTGAAATTT